TAAAGGGGAGCTGGAGAGGGGGGCATCTTGCCTGATGGTCTCGGGCGAGCCAAGTCAAGGACCAGCAGGCCCATCGATCGTTTGCGCCTGTATCCGTGTTACCTGCATCACCTCCCCGAGACTCACACCAGCGCCACACGCTAGCCGCTACCGATCCATCCCTGTTGCACCGGTGACAAATGGAAGCCATTGTGGTGGCGTGCAAAGAGCCAGACGCGGCCGCCTCTGCCAGCTGTGTGGCCTCGGGCGAACCCCTCACTTCTTGGAGCCTCAGTTTCCCAGTCTGTCTCCGTGCCGTGAGGAGGGGGTGTGCAGGGTGAGGCGGGGAGGACTCACCCAGGGAGGGGACCAAGTGTCCTCTCAAGGTCAGTCAGTGGGGGATCAGGGATGGGGACCCAGCCCTCCTGATTTCTAACTGGGGGGGGGGAGGATGTCTGTGCATTGACCACCCCCCAACCTTGGGCTGTGGCACTGGAGGTGCGGGGAGGTGGCTCTGCCCGGCCAGAAGGACCTGAGCCCTCGGAAGCCCGAGGCCAAACCTCCTTCCGCGCCCTCTCTGGCCGGTCCCCGGGGAGGGAGCAAAGATTCATCAGTTAAGGCACCAGCTGGCAGGCGGCGGCCAAGTCAAGAGCCAGCTGCCCAGAGAGTCCCTTCCGAGGAGCCAGCCAGGGGCGAAGGGGAGCCGGGCGGGAGGGAGGTGATGCAGGCTGCGGGCAAAGTCTGTGAGCGAATATTCTGGCTGGCAGCCCTCCACACACACACACACCCGTCCGCACCAGCTGGGCCTCCTCCTCCCTCACCACCGCCCTTCCTCCTGAAGTCTGAAGTGTGCGGCTCCGTTCACCAGCTGCGTGATGTCCTTGGGCAAGTCACCAACCTTCCCCTTGGGTCAACCAGGGGTGACAATGCCCTGGAACCAGGAGGTGGGATTCGTAGCTTCCTCTTCCCCTGGCCAAGAGCCGCAGTGGACACAAGTCCCCGTCACCCTAGGGGGCGCCACCCCCCCCCCCAAACCCATCCCTCTCCTCGCTCACAAGTAATAATTTGTCCCAATAATAATCGCTATTTGGCAAAAGCTGGCCACTTGCCGGGCCCGTGTTTATCAGTTTAGGGACGCTAACCTGCTTCGTTTCCACCGCAGTCCTTCCCGTGGGCGGGATAGGAGGGCCCACGTCTCACACACGAGGGTACAGGGGGTCAGAGGAATCAAGCACTTGCTCAAGGTCATGGGCAGAGGGGGACTTGGTATGTTATCAAACAAAACCGGGTGCTTTTGAGAATAAAAGGGGATGCTGTGTGCCCTAGCTGGTTTGGCTCAGTGGATAGAGCGTCGGCCTGCGGACTGAAGGGTCCCGGGTTCAATTCTGGTCAAGGGCATGTACCTTGGTTGCGGGCACATCTCAAGAAGGGGGTGTGGAGGAGGCAGCTGATCGATGTTTCTCTCTCATATTTGTTTCTAACTCTATCTTGCTCCCTTCCTCTCTGTAAAAAAAAATCAATAAAATATATTTTAAAAAATAAAAATAAAAGGGGGTGCTGTGGATCATGACATCGGGCAAATGGGGGCGTCCGCCACCCTCCATGGACCTGCAGGGGACCCAGTAGGAACTCCAAGCCAGGCCTGCAGGCTCTGCTGACCACAGGCTCTGGAAGGGGTCGCAAGGGGAGACTCTGGATTAGGTCCCTGGGTTTGACCCAGGGCCCTCACCTGCCCCCATGACCCCGATGGTGTCTCGCCATCTCCCTGGGCCTCAGTTTCCAGCTCTGTCAAAGGAGAGGAACAGAGGCTGCACTGCCTGGAGCCCAGAGAGGGACAGTGACTGGCCCCAGGCCACCCAGCAGAGTTTGTGCGGAATGTGGATTTGAGCCCAGGTGTCGCGACTCTTGGGGAATGGGGTGCGGATTAAATGCAGGCCTGTAAAACCCTTGCCTGGCACCGTGCCCGGCCCAGTGCCCGCCCAGCACCTGGTATCTCCGGTCTACGCTACAGACTCTCATCCCGCCTCTGTGTGCCACTCCGGCCCTGAGGCCCCGGCCACTGCCGCTCTCCTCGTCCCTCCTCTGACGGGGAGAACGAACAGACAAACAGGCGTTGGCACCTCGCAGACCCCCTTCTGAGTCCGGGCCCTGCCTCTGGGTGTGACCGTAGGTAGCCAGCACCGGTGGCCATGATGGAGATGTCCTCCATCTGCCCAGGAAGCCAGCCACCAGCCCCCTGTGGCTGTGGGGCACCTGACATGTGGCCCCTGTGACTGAGGAACGGGACACTGTATTTTAACAAGTTTAAGTGGAAATAGTCACATGGACCCCACTGGTGTGGTTCAGTGGATAGAGCGTCTGCCTGCGGACTGAAGGGTCCCAGGTTTGGTTTTGGTCAAGGGTACATGCCTGGGTTGTAGGCTCGATCCCCAGTGGAGGGTCTGCAGGAGGCAGCCGATCCATGATTCTCTCTCATCATTGATATGTCTCTCTCTCTCTCCCTTCCTCTCTGAAATATATATATATATTATAAAATATATATATATTATATATATAAAATATATATATATATATATAAAACCCAAATGTGCAAATATACTAGCTCTTCATCCCTCTCTCTTCCTCTCTGTAAAAAATCAATTATAGCCGAAACCGGTTTGGCTCAGTGGATAGAGCGTCGGTCTGCGGACTGAAAGGTCCCAGATTCGATTCCGGTCAAGGGCATGTACCTGGGTTGCAGGCACATCCCCAGAAGGGGGTGTGCAAGAGGCAGCTGGTTGGTGCTTCTCTCTCATCGACGTTTCTCTCTCTATCTCCCTCCCTTCCTCTCTGTAAAAAATCAATAAAATATATATTTTTAAAAATCAATTATGTATATATATATATATATATGATAATCCTTCACTCTTGCTGTCACAGTCCCACCCAGCACTCCCACCTGCTGCGGCACTGACCCCGCTCACACCTCAGCACAGAGTCTCCGCTCCCGCCCGGCACCAGTCCTACTTGCTCAGCATCGTCAGGGGGTGTACGCGGCCCCTGAGGACTTCCACACCTCTCCCTACTCCGCAGGGGCGATCGGGGCGGCAGCTGCCACTTGTACCGCTGCTGGCACCGGCCCCGATTGCTCCGCATCGCCAGTGTGTGCAAGCAGGGCCAGTGCTGTCCGCACGCGGGAGCCACAGTGGCGGGAGCAGGGCTGCTGGCAGACGGGGACCTGGGCTCACGGTGGGAGGGGCCCGGTGGGGACCTGCCCCTGTGCTCACTTGCAGCCTAGCAGCCCACAGTTCCTTTCAAGGTGCACAAATTTGTGCACTGGGCCCTTTAGTCAAGATATATTTTAGAAAACTAAACAACAAAAATTATTCAACTTCTCTGATCTCAGTTTTCCTTGCTCCAAAATGGGGCTCATGCTCTGGCCAGTTTGGCTCAGTGAACAGAGCGTCAGCCTGAGGACTGAAGGATCCTGGGTTCAATTCCGGTCAAGGGCACATGCCAGGGTTGTGGCTCCATCCCCTCTCCCTTCCTCTCCGAATTCAATAATAGTAATAATAATAATTAATGATAATAATAATAATAAAGTATATTTAAATGGGGCTCCCAGCACCTGCTCTGCAGGGCCGTTTCTTCCATGAGAGGAGGAAGGGCCTGCAGGCGGGTGCTCTGTCCAGGTGACCCCGCTATCAGCTGCCTCTGGCTCCTTCCCCCTCCGGCCCCTCCTGTCCCCACACCCCGCGCTCTGTCTGTGGGCTGAGCCGGGCTTCCTGCACCCAGGCCACTGGGCCGGGCCGGGGGCTCACCCCTGCGAAGATCCTCGTGACCGTCTTCGGCCGCTTCAGGAACTGCACGGCATTGCTGTCCGCCAGGTCCTGCAGGCTCTCTGGGATGTGCATGGCGGCGGGAGTGGGGCTGCTCTGCTGGCTCCCTTGGGCTCCAGGCTCACCCTGGGGCTCGGCTGCTCCACGACAAGATGGGTGGGGGGAGGTTAGGGTCAGAGGCATGGGGTGAAGGAACTTCTGGGGTGGGGGTCCCCGGAGAAGGGGCATGAGAGCTGGGGGTCCCCGGAATAGGGTTGCGTGGGGTGCAGGGCCTGGTAGGGTTCTTAGGAGTTGGGGCATGGGGTGCAAGGGCTGCTGAAGGTTCCAGAGCTGGGGGTGTAGGGTGAGAGGTTTGCCGAGGGTCCCATGAGTTGGGGTGCAGGGTAAAGGGGGTCCAGAAAATTCTAGAGGTCGGGTCACCAGGTGAGGGGACACCTGGGGGGCACAGGGGGAGGTGCTGGTGAGGAAATCCCAGGCAGGGAGAAGGGGTGGAGAGAGGGCTGGGGTATTGGGGTCACGACACTGACACGGGAGCACAGCGCCCCTTTGAAGGACTGTGTTCCCCCCCGGAGAGGACACAGTGGCATTTCCAGGGAGTTGAGGCACTGGAAGACCTGAATCAGGGGGATCCCTCTCAGGTGTGGGGTGTCAGCGTCCATAACGGAGACCCCCGGTAGAACAGGGAACATATGAGGGTGTCCTTAGGAATCGGGGTCATTTCCTCGGCATTGACAGGCCTCCACCTAGCATCCAGCTCTACCTTCATCAAAGGGCGTTTTCTCAAAGTTGGGGGGCCTGGATCTCAGACGTGTGGGGGCCTGGGCTTAGAACTGAGGAGGCCCAGCCCCCCCGCACTCGGTTACCTTCTTGGAATCAGGGTCTTTCCTTTAAGGACGTGAAATGGGGGTGGTGAGGTTTTGGGGGGTGGGGGGCGACACCGCCTGACAAAGGGTCACCCCTACTCTGAGGCCCGGCCTGCGTCACCTGGGGGCCCGCTCATCCTTTCGCCCACCCTCCCCAGCCCGGTCCCTGCGCCACCTCAGGCTTCTTTTGCTTCCGCCTTTTCCCGCCTTTTTCGCTCCTCCGCAGCTGATTGGCTGCGCCCAAGCCCCGCCCCCGCCCCTTGCCCTCCCACTCAGTAGCGGACACGAGCGGGGGCGTGGCCACGGCGGACGTTGGGCGCCAGCAGTTGGCGGGCTGCGCGCGCCGGGGGAGGCTGGGGGGAGGCCCCTACCCCGCCCCGGCGCTCCCGGGAGTCTCGCGCCCGCCGCGTCCCCTTCTCTTTGCGGCGCGGGGACAAGGAGACATCCCTGCGGCGCATGCGCGCGCCCACAACCAGCCCAGTCGGGGAGAAAAGCAGGCATGTCGCCCGTGCGCAGTTGAGACGGCTTCCAGCAGGAAGAAATGGACCGCGCTCAGTGACCCGGGTTCTGCGCATGCGCCCTCCTGCTGGGTGAAGCCGAGTCTTGGGGGACCAGAAAGCCTCCCTGCACATGCGCAGGAGGCTCAATGACAGTCGAGCGTTGGCTAAGGTGAGGGGAGGGAGGGGGGGCTTGCATGGCCCGGGCAGGACGGCCCTGCACCCTCAGTGCAGCCTTTTCGAGCGTCTCCTAAGCTCCCAGGACCCACCTCATCGCCTAGACCCCCGCAGAAACCAGTTGTACCACGACAGGGTGTCCAGGCCCTCAAAACGCCCCAGGACCTAAGCCCTCTGACCCTTCCCTGGGACCCAGGTCAAACTGAGCAATGTGGGAGGGGACCCGCGAGAAGGGGGGGCGGGCTCTGCGCCCCGCCTGGGGTTAGGAATAGCTCCTGGAGATTGAGACAGGGAGGGGGAGAGGGCGCTTTTCCACCCGACGTCCTTTGACCCCCTCCCCTACCCATTTCCCTTGTTTAGGCTCCGGGCGCAGGGGCTGGCCATGTTGCATGTGACCCGGGGTGTCTGGGCATCCTGGGTCCGAAGATGGCCAGCCTTGCCCGAGCTCCTGGGGCCCACCCGGGCCCTGTCCTCGCTGGCGGCCAAGATGGGGGAGTACCGCAGGATGTGGAACCCCACGGAGCCCCGCGACTGGGCGCAGCAGTATCAGGAGCGGTTCATCCCACTCTCCAAGGAGCAGCTGCTCCGCCTCCTGATACAGGTATCACCCGTCCGGGGTTCAAGCGCCTGGGGCCTACGACTCCCGGCAGGCCTTGCGGCGGCAGGGCCGTGCATGCTATAGAGGGCTGCCCCGGTCCCTCCTGGGAGTTGTAGTACCTATTCCCCTTGCAGTCTCTAGTGGGCGGGAAGTGAATCGGAACATAGGGGAGGGGGAGAAGACCTCTGAGATGCAAATTGTAGCAGCGATTTCGACTCCATAGCTTGTTCTGAGGCTTGAACAAGCACTCTCGGGGCATGGTTTTCCCCTTTGCAAAATGTGTATAATCATCATCATCATCATTACTATTACTACTATCTAATGATAATTATACCTACGAAAGCATCATCATAATTATTATCACACTGTGTGAGCTCTTACTGTGTGGCACCGTGCTAAGCATTTTCCCTGTATTGAATCATCAGAACAACCCAATAAGAGAGTTACCGCCATCGTTTGATAAATGAGGGCACTGCGGCATAGAAGGGAAGTGACAAGCATACATAATTGGTTCAATATGGGTGCTCTGGGGTCAGACAGGCCTACAGTGGATTTTCAGTCTCTCTGTATCTAGACATTGTGGTCCTCAGCGGGTGACTTCCTGAGCCTTATTTTCCCCCTCTGAGAAGTGGGGTTATAATTCCACTGGCCTGGCATCTCATGTGGGCAAGCAGTGCCTGGCCCGCAGTAAGCACTGTGTGAATGTTGGCAAGTCAGCGTCAAAGTGCAAATTCGAGCTCTCAGCTTTCTCAGTCACCTGTTTTTTTACTGTGCCAGGCTACCTCAGTTTCTTGGTCAATATAATGGACACCCTTCCCCAAACATAAACAAAATTTTGAAAAGCCCAGAGCTCTGACTGTCGGTGTGGGCTGCTATTGAAAGAATTCCTTCCCATGGAGGAAGGGGAGAGAGGCCTAACGATCCGTTTTGCTTCCCGAGGTAACAGGAATTCCACTCCAGTCCTGCGGAGAAGGCGGCCCTGGAGGAGTTCTCTGCCCACGTGGACCTCTGCACCTTGTACCACTACCACCAGATCCTGAGCCGGCTGCAGGTGAGGGCGGGGCCCCTCCCGCCCAGCCGTTCATTCAACAAAAGTCCTCTGAGCACCTACGTGGAACCTGGCCCTGCCTTAAGCCCTGGGGGTGCTGCAGGGAACAGTTCCGGAAAAGCCACACCCTCCAGGAGCCGGCATTCCAGATGGGGAGGTACAATAATAAGTAAATAGGAAATCTGATACCCGGAGTGGTAAGTGCTGTGAAGAACCATGAAGCGGAGGTTGAAGCAGGTCTGACAGGGATGAGACGGGGGTCTGTTTTAGACAGGGTGGTCCTGGAGGGCTTCCTGGAGGTGACAGGCAAGCTAAGGCCTGAGTGAAGAGAAAGGAGCCTGCGTGATGGCTGTCTGGGGAGGACATTCCAGGCAGAAGGAGAGGCACGTGCAAAGGTCCTGGGGTGAGAAGGCTTGGGGTGTGGGAGAAACAGCAAAAGGACAGCTGTAGCTGGAGGGGAGGGCGAGAGGCGGAAGGTGGGAGCAGAGAGAGAGTGGGGGCCAACTGTGCCTGGCCTTGCGGGGCACGGGGAGGACAATGCTTTTACTCTAAGTGAGCCGGGAGCCACAGGGGGGCTCTGAGCCGAGGAGGAACCGATTTAGTTGTTCACAGGATCCTTCTGGCTGCCGCGTAGGGAACAGACTGTCAGAGGCGGAGAGGTCTAGTAAAGAGTCTATTATGCTTGTCCCGGAGAGAGGTAATGGCGGCTCCGACGAGAGTAATAGCCGGGGAAGTGGTGAAAAGTGGGCAGGCGCTGGTAATAGCTGGCAGGCCGCAGCACTCAGCTGTGTGGGCCGGGTGGTGAGGGAAGAGAGGAGTCCAGGGCGCCTCCAGAGGCTCTGGCCCGCTCCCCGAAGGATGGAGCTGCCATTTTCTTTCTTTCTTTTCTTTTCTTTTTTTCTTTTTTTTTAAAAAATATATTTTATTGATTTTTCACAGAGAGGAAGAGAGAGGGATAGAGTTAGAAACATCCATGAGAGAGAATCATTGATCAGCTGCCTCTTGCACACCTCCTCCTGGGGATGTGCCCTCAACCAAGGTACGTGCCCTTGACCGGAATTGAACCCGGGACCTTTCAGTCCGCAGGCCGACGCTCTATCCACTGAGCCAAACCGATTTCGGCGGAGCTGCCATTTTCTGAGACACGGATGACGGGGCAGGGGCGAGAGGCAGATCTGCGGGAAGATTGGAGAGGCCAGCTTTGGACTTGGGAACTGAGCCACCTGTCAGGCAGATAGGGAGATGGACTTGAATGTGGGGTCTGAGGTCAAGGGAGGAGCATCTGGGCTGAGAAGCAGCCCCGGGAGGATGGAGATGGCACTAAAGGGTACCGGGAGGGGAATTAGCCGAACCCCGGGGTGCGCCAGCTTTGAGATCAGGAAGGGGAACTGGAACCAGGAAGGAGGGTGGACAAGGAGCCTCAGAGAGAGGAGCAGAACCCCAGAGAAGTAGAAGAGACATTCTTAGGCGTCTCCTCCTCCTCCTCCCGGGCCCTGCCTGGGCTGAGGGTCCCCCAAGACCACCCTCAAATTCATTGATTTTCTAGAGGGACTTCCAGAGCTCAGGAAAGCTGTTATGCTTGAAGTGGTGTTTTTTCACAGTGAAAGGATGGTGAGCACAATCAGCAAAGGAAAAAGGCCACAGGCAGAGCCCCGAGGAGCCCAGGCCCGACCTGCCACTTGTCCTCTCCCAGTATTGTCTCTAGAACAGCCCTGAATTCTCCCACCGACAATGTGTGACAGCGCCTATGGAGGACTGCCAGCCCGGGAAGCTCACCCGGGTTTTATTGGCGGTTGGTCATATAGGCCTGGCAGGCCACCTGTGTCACTATCCTAGTTACTCAGTCTCCAGCCCCTCCAGCGGTCAGACTGCCTCATGGCCCAAGACTGAGGTGCCCAGACATCCCGCTTTTGGCGGGACAGTCCCGATTTTTAAAACGCCGCAGGACGTGGGACAAATTGTTAAAAATCGGGACGTCTGGTCACCTTACCCAAGACTCCCACCATCGACCACATTGTTAGCATAGACATCCAGTGTGGCCCAAGGCCCTGGGCAAACCAAGGCATTTTTTATTACTTTATTGTTATTTTTAAAAAATATTTTTTTATTTATTTCAGAAAGAAGGGAGAGAGAGAGACTGTAACATCAACGATGAGAGAGAATCATTGATTGGCTGCCTCATGCACGCCCCCTACTGGGGATCAAGCCCACAACCCAGGCATGTGCCCCTGACCAGAACAAAGCGTGGACCCTTCAGTCCACAGGCCAACGCTCTATCCACTGAATCAAACCGGGTAGGGCCCAAGAGACTCTTTTTAAAAACATTTTTTAAAAATTGATTTCAGAGAGGAAGGGAGTGAGAGAGATAGAAACATCAATGATAAGAGAGACCGATTGCTCACCTGCCTCCTCCACATCTCCTATTGGGGATTGAGCCTGCAACCCGGGCGTGTACCCCAACTGGGAACTGAACTGTGACCTCCTGGTTCATAGGTCGATGCTCATGAGCCATCTCATCTGGGCCCAAGACACTTTTAAAATAATATATATTTTTATTTATTTCAGAGTGAATTATTGATTGGCTGCCTTCTGAATGCCCCCCACTGGCGATTGAGCCAGCAACCCAGGCATTTGCCCTTGACTGGAATCGAACCCAGAACCCTTCAGTCCATAGACTGACGCCCTATCCAATGAGCCACACAAGCCAGGGCCAAAACACTTTTTAAAAAATATACATGTTTTTTTTGTTTTTTTTTAAGTGAAAAAAAAATTTTTTTTAAGTATATTTTATTGATTTTTTACATAGAGGAAGGGAGAGAGATAGAGAGCTAGAAACGTCGATGAGAGAGAAACATCGACCAGCTGCCTCTTGCACACCCCCTACTGGGGATGTGCCCGCAGCCAACGTACATGCCCCTGACCGGAATCGAACCCGGGACCTTTCAGTCCGCAGACCGACGCTCTACCACTGAGCCAAACCGGTTTCGGCAAAAAAATATACATGTTTTTATTGATTTCAGAGAAAGGAAGGGAGAAGGTGTTAGAAACATCGATCAGCTGCTTTCCACATGCTCCTATTGGGGATCGATCCCACAACCCATGCATGTGCTCTGACTAGGAATTGAACTGGTGACCTCCTTGTGCTCGAGTCTAGACGATGCTCAACCAACTGAGCCACACTTTAATCAGGCAGAGCGTTCCAAGGTTCCCCCCCAGGAGCCCCTTCAGGGGCCTGTCCTTTGCTGGCCTGCTGAGTTAGCCCTCCTCTGCACACTGCCTCGCCCTCCTGCAGGTCCCCTCTTTGCTTTGAACAGCAGCAGCGGACAGTGGCCTCCTTGCTGAGCACTCACTGCGCACTGGGCTCACCGGCTCCTTTCTGTGGCGCCTCCTCCTGCCATCAGCCCCCTTGGCAGAGGCAGAAACCGGGGCCCCGCAGGGCCTAGGACATGCCCAAGGTCGCCCAGTTCCCAGGCGGCAGAGCCAGGGTGGACGCCACTCCACCCGCCCCCAAGCTCTTCCCTGGGCACTTGTGGCCTCTGGAGTCAGGTTTTTTGTTTTTATTGTTATTTTATTTTATTTTAAAATATGTTTTATTTATTTTTTTACAGAGAGGAAGAGAGAGGGATAGAGAGTTAGAAACATCGATGAGAGAGAAGCATCGATCAGCTGCCTCTTGCACACCCCCTCCTGGGGACTTGCCCGCAACCAAGGTACATGCCCTTGACCGGAATCGAACGTGGGACCTTTCAGTCCACATGCCCATGCTCTATTCACTGAGCCAAACCGGTTTTGGCATGTTGTTGTTATTTTAATATATAATATATAAACATTTATATTGAAAGAATAATCAGTGAGGATGCATATTCCCACTGAAGCAGGAGATTTTAAAGTCTTTTTTAAAAATAGAGAGAGGGAGAGAAAGAGAAACATGGACGTGAACACGAAACATCAATCAGCTGCCTCCTGCATGCCCCCTACCAGGGATCGAACCCACAAGTGGGCACAAATGCCCTGACCAGGAATCCAGGAATTTCGGTGCATAGGACAACGCCCAACCCACTGAGCCACACCAGCCGGAGGTTTTAAACTGAGGTACTGAGAGGGTGGAGTGGGAGCACCAGAGAGGGATGAGGTATCGGGTGACCAGTTGTTGGTGACCTCAGTCCCTTGAGGAAGCAGCCTGGGCGGGAAAAGAATAGGAACATCCCCAGTTCAGAAGCTGGCGTTGTTCACTAGTCACGCAGGTGACCGTGGGAGGTGACCTCTCTCCGACCCTCCTCCCCCTCGTTCATTCATTCATTCGCTGAATTTTCTCAGTATGTATGCATTGAGCACCTAGTGTGTTCTGGGCCCCAGGACACAGCAGCGAGCCTGACATATGTGTGTATCTGCCTCGTTTGGTCATGTTCTAGTGAGGGAGACAGGCCCTCAACAAAGGGAAGAAGGGAAATGGGATAATAAGAGAGGCTGAATGCGAAGGACAGGGTCGCCAGGTAAAGTACAGGAAGCCCCGTTTATTCATTTGTTTCTGCTGCTGTGAACTGGGTGGCTTAAAAAAGCAGAAACGTGTTCTGTCCTCCTTCGGGAGTCCGGAAGGCGTGGGCAGAGTTAGTTTCCGCTGCTGGCTCTCAGGGGGAGACCACCCCAGGTCTCTCTCTTACGCCGCTGGTGGCTGCTGGCAGTCCTTGGCTTGTGGCCACATCACCCCCTCTCCATCTTCACATCGTCTGCCTCCCTGTGCATCTCTGTGCCCTTCTCTGTCTCCTATAAGGACACCCTCACTGGATTTAGGATCCGCCTCAATCCAGGATGATCTCACCTCAATTCTTATCTTAATTACTCCTGCAAAAAAACTCCAGGCAGCCAAAGCCGGTTTGGCTCAGTGGAAGAGCATTGGCCTGGGGACTGAAGGGTCCCGGGTTCGACTCCGGTCAAGGGCATGTACATTGGTTGTGGGCACATCCCCAGTGGGGGGTGTGCAGGAGGCAGCTGGTCCATGTTTC